CCAGCTCAGAGTATTCTTTGTGCAAAGGACTCTCCCAGCTTTGACAACCTCTGGCCATTTTTCTCTTTCAGGAGAGGCTCTTGGAGCCATCGGCAACCCCGAAGTGTTGGAACTCCTGAAGGAATATGCCAAGGATCCTGTCATCGAGGTAACGTAATACTCTTTTTTTTCCCCCATGTGGCTGCCAGGTCTCATGTTATTTAGTGAGCCCCGGTGGGGAGGATAGCGTAGGATGATAGGATTTAGAGCTGGGGCAGAGTAGAGAGAGGGGGGCAATAGAAACTCAAGCTAGAAAGGTTGAATGTTATTAGATTGTGGAGGGTTTGGAATGTTGGGCAGAGGCACTGAAGATCCATGGACTAGCCCCCTCACTGTATTTTCTTTTTTAAAATTTATGCTTTGTTAACATTGCTTTCCCTTCCCACTCTCCACTATCTTCTCTTGAAACAAGGAAGTACAGTTAAGTAAAACAAACCAACGCCACATGTGTTATTGGATGCCCACATTCACATCTGTAGAGCTCCACTGCCCTGACAAAAAGAGGGAGACTCCTGGAGTCAAGATTGTCTTTGTGGTCATTTTGTGGGACTGCTTACTTTGGCTTACTTCCCTCTGCATCACATCATGCGAGTTTTACCAAGCTTCTCAGATTTGTCTTTTCTTACAGAGCAAATGTGCAATTACATTTCTATGCTACAGGTTGTTCAGTTAGCCCCAGCTGAGGGCTGCCCACATTTCAGTTCTGGGGTTCCTGTTTCCATAAAAAGGGCTGCTGTATATATCACAGCCCCTTCATTTTACAGATGTTTTAGCAATGCTGGGAAATCCCCCCACAACCCCGACCCTCTCCAACCCCCAGCATTCAGGTTCCCTCTCCCAGTCATGATCTTAAAATAGGGAGGCACTTAAAATATCATTTAATCCTGCCCTTGCCACCATTTTGGAAGTGAGCAAACTGGAGCCCCTAGAGAGAGAAAATGAGCTGCTTGATGCCATAGAGCAGCGCATGGCAGAGCTGGGACGGAAACCCAGGCCTAGTCGCCAGCTCCTAGGCCTTGACTCTTCTCTCTCCTCCGAGTGTGCCGTCACCTCCCTCCCCTGCGCAGGGCCCGTCAGGAGTCCGCAGGAGCATCATGCCTGCTCTGCCACGTCTAAACTCCTCTGTCCGGTGTCCAGGGCATCTATAACTCAGCGTCAGACGGATCTGCTGCTGCTCTCATCACACAGCGTTCCCACCTCTAATTCCCAACCCTATAATTTGGATATTTCTAAAATGCTTTTAAGATTTGTAAAACTTTCCTTACAGTGACCTTGGGACGTAGGCATTGCCAATATTAGCATCCTCATTCTACAGATGAGGACGCAGGCTCAGAGAGGTGAAGTAACTAACCCTTGGTCACACAGCTGCTAAATTTCAGAGCCCACCCTTGCCCTGTGGTCCTCAGACCCAGATCCAGCGCCACTTCCTCTCTCTTTGGGCCAGACCAGAGCTTGGGCTTTGTTGCTGCAGCAAGGTCCCTGTAAGTGAGGCTGGGCTAGGGGATTGAGGAGGTCCTGGAGGCTTCTCAGTGTTCTTTCACTGTCCTCAGGTGGCAGAGACATGCCAGCTGGCAGTGCGACGGCTGGAGTGGCTGCAGCAGAATGGAGGGGAGCCCACAGGTAGCCCCTACTTGTCTGTGGACCCGGCCCCGCCAGCTGAGGAGAAGGACGTGGGGCGTCTTCGGACCATGCTGCTGGATGAGTCACGCCCGCTCTTTGACCGCTATCAGGCCATGTTTGCTCTGCGAAATGCTGGGGGCAAGGAGGCCGCACTGGCCCTTGCAGATGGTGAGGAGGAACCCTAGGGTGAGATGGGGGGCTGGGGACAGTGACATGTCCATAGCTCAGCTTTTACTCTCCCAGCACTCTAATTTGTATATTTAGTCCACGGGTGACAAAAGCTGAGAGTGACATGATTTCTCCCCCGACTTGCTAGATGACCTTGGACCTTGGTTGTTTCATCTGTAAAATAAAGAATTATCCTTGTTCTTCTTTGTCTCCCAGGGATGTTCAGGGCATGAAATGAGGTACTAGGAGGGGAAAAATGTATTGGGAAAAAGGTCTTCTCTGGCCCCTATTAAGTCTCTCTCTTCTCCATTGACTCCTCCTGCCTCTTAAACCTCCTTTGGGAGGACTGACTCCTCCCCAGACCTATTTCTCACACACAATGAAATTCCCCTCTAGTTGACTCCTTCCTTAACCATCCCTCTCATCCTCCCCTTCTGACTCCCTGCCTAGGTTTACTTCCTTTCTCTTCCTCTTTCTTTAACCATCATCCTTCAAGGTGACTTCCTCTGTAACTATCAGCACTGTCTCTCCTAGACAATTCCTTAAGTCACTCATCCCTCAGGTAATGCCCTCTCCTTCTAACCGTGATTCCTTGGGTGGCTCCCTTACCCCTCGATCGACACCCCCCTCAAGATGGCCTCTCCCCCAATGTTCCTTCCCAGATGACTCCTACCTCCTATATATTCATCTTTCTTCCTACTCTCTTCCTTGGGTGATTTTCTCCCCATCTGATCAGCTTCCTCTCCTGATTCTTGCCTCCAGGTCTGTGCTGTGGCAGTGCTCTGTTCCGCCATGAAGTGGGCTATGTGTTGGGCCAGCTACAGCATGAGGCCTGCATACCCCAGCTTACAGCTGCCCTAGCCAGCCAAGCCGAGAACCCTATGGTGCGACACGAGTGTGCTGAAGCCTTGGGCTCTATTGCCCACCCCGACTGTCTGGCAGCCCTTCGGGCCCACGCAGCTGATGCGGAGCGTGTAGTGCGTGAGAGCTGTGAGGTGGCCCTGGATATGTATGCCTATGAGAATGGGCCTGAATTTCAATATGCCAATGGCCTCAGCCAGCTTCACCAGCCCTCTCCTGTGCTGGATGGATTCTCCTGACTTTGTAAACCTACCGCTGCTGTGCTCTGGTAGCTTCTACCATCACCTGCTTTGGCCTCATCATTCCTGCTCCTGGGCCTACTTTGTCCTCTCACAAGAATGGCTACCCATTAGAATCAGCTGAAAGGGGCTGGAAACAGGAAATGACCTGGGTGGGTTGGAAGAGGTTAGGAACAATTGGGATCTTCTGGGAAGGGGACATCGATCTGTTGGGAGATGCCAGAATCTATTAGGAGCACAGCCAGTTCTTTGGGGAGCATATCTGCATCTGTTGGCATGAGATCAAGATCTCCTTCAAAAGGTGTTCGTCTCTATTGGGATAGGGGCTTTTGGGAGCAGTTTGGGATATTTTTGGGGACAGAAGAGAACAACTGGAACGGGTTCAGGGTCTTTTAAAAGGTGTTGGGATCTGTTGAGATAGGGCCTGTTGGGAGCACATTGTCATCTTTGGGATTCTCTATTGGGTAAATCTAATGGTAATAGGGGATCTAAGTTTACTGGGAGATATTGGGATTGTCAGTAAAACTAGGTTTATTGGGATCCCTTTGGAGAAGATCTGGAAGAGAATCTGGATTGGTTGGGGAAAAAGGCATATAGCTTTTTCACAGTTGAGACCTTCTGGAGGAAGGTCTTTCTGAGTTGCTGCTGTCCACCTAACCATAAGTTCCAGACCATCTGGGCAACTTGGAGAGGGAAACACACCCACATGTACTCCCTTTCCTACCATCTACTACCTGTCTGGAAGGGAAATCTTCCTGGGCATAAATAGTGCCTGCACAGTTAGATGATTGGGGTGGGAGTCTTTGAGGGGCATGGAAGAGGGTGGGTCACAAAGTGGGCAAAGTTCTTAAGTGACTTTTTCCCAGAGAAAGGAAAGCTGGGCTAGGGCCTGGGGGAGAGGTGAGAGCAGGAGGTCTGGGCTTGAGTCGCAGAGCACAAAGGCCATCTGAACCAAATATTAAATTATCTGAGAAAATCGTGTGAAGTGTCTGGGTGGGGTGAGGGTGACTGGGAGGGAAATGCTGAAGAGCCATGTCTCCATCCTGGGCTGGCTGGCATGAGGTCTGGCTTCTAGTTCCAACTAGTTCCAACCCTTCCACTCATTGCTAACGTGAGCTTTCCCTCTTGGGGCCTCCGATGACCATTGATGTTCCTTCTTGTTCCTTGAGTGGCTGATGATCACAATTAGGTCATTTGTTGTAAAGAACCCTAGACTAAAAATCAGGAGACCCGGGTTTGGTCCCTGTTCTGCCTTTAACTCATCATGAACAAGTATCTTCCCTCCTTGGTCTCAGTCTCCTCGTTTGTAAAAGGAAGGAGTTCAACAGGGTGATTTCTGAGGTCTCTTCTAGCTCTAATAATCTCTTATTGGAAAGAATCTGGGCTACTGTGTAGGACATAACACCTTCCTTGGGTTCCCTTAGCAGTCTTTTCACCATGCCTCCCTGCCCCAGATCCCAAGTCCCAAGACCAAGATTCTGTAGGGAAATAAAATGAAGCCTTGCCTGGGATGTAGTAGGATTCCCCATCCAATTTCCATTCCATACCCAGAAGGGGTAAGGGTGATTCCTTCTGAGATCCTAGTCATGTGGGGTACTGAGAGGAACCCTGGCCCAGGGGCCCAGAGATGTGGCTTCAGCCCCAGTTCTGCCACACTGAATGTCTGATCCCATGGCCTCTGTGCCCCACCACCCTCTTTCTGTCTCATCCTCCCACCCTTCCTCACAGTAATCTCCACAATCCTCTTAGTCCCTAAGACCCTTAATGCTTCCGCTGTCCGCCCTTGGGGGTTACTCCAGCACTGCCAGCCTCTTGGGCACCATGCCCCACATCCTGGCAGGCAGGCAGCAGCCTCCATCTATGAGGCCACCTTGCTGAAGGGCCAGGATGGTGGGGAGCTGGGGCCCTCGGCGCCTACTGGAAGAGGAGTCTGAGGACCAAACGAGGAAGACACCCCTCTTTGAGGACTACAGGCCACCTGCTCTCGATGCTGTGCGCCTGCCTAAGTATGTGCTATACCTGCTGCTTGCTGCCCTCATCGTTGTAGCTGTGGCCTATGCCATCGTTGGGCACCTCATCAAGGACCTCATGCATGACCTGGCTGGTGAGTCCTTTGGAGCCTACCTCCTCAGAGAGCCCTTCTGAAAACAAGACGGAAGCTGTTCCTTCAGATGCCCTCTACCCCCCCTACCCCCCCTCCAAGGCAGGGCTCAGATGAGGGGAATGGAGCTGGTGAATGCTAGCGGGCCTCCTCTGCAGCCCCTGGGGGGGGTGGCGGGGGGGGGGCAGAAGGGGAAGGCTCTGCCTTCGGACATCTTCCTCTCCCCTCAGTCTCCTTCCCCAGGGCAGGGCTCATTTGTGAATGAGATGGAGGTCACCTGGGGCAGTTAGCTTATGGTGTGGTGGTTGTCAGTTGTTTCAAGTATGATACTCCTTTTTTAATTTCCAAAAAACTCAGAACCTCACATTTTAAGACCCATACTGTTGAGAATATATATGACCCCAAAAAGACCCTATCATTAATGCTTTGAAGTGCATTTGCATATCAATCACAATAACATCTACAAACATTTGAACACTAGTAATACGTGTTTTCAAGATCTGTTATTCAGCCTGCAAAAGATCTGGTGTAGAAAAATGAACATTTGCTTTAGAGTTCAGAGTCCTGACTTTAAATCCTGGTTCTTCAGTTTACTGGCTGTGCGATGCCAAGAATTTAGAGTTAGAGTTAGTGTGATACTGTCTCTCAGCCTCAGTTTCCTTAGTTGTAAGATAATCATAATAATGCTTTTATTCTCTGCCTTGCTGTGTTGCAGTGAGGGTCAATCTGAGACAATATATGTAAAGCACTTTGTAAACAGACAAGCACCAGATTAATGTTGGTGTAAGGAGGGAAGAAGAAACTGATGAGGTGGACTTGGAAGGCGTCCTTCCCTGCCCTCCATCCTCTGGAGACTCGACAAGGGGGATGGCAGCAAGAAATGTTATTTTTCCTGACTCCCTTTCTCTCAGGGAGAACCTCAGCCAGGAGTCAGAAGAGCTAGGCTTGGGTCCTGGGTCTGTGTCTGAGCATAGGCATATTCCCTATTTTCTCTTGGTTTCTGCATCTGGAAAATGGGGGTGCTTCTCCTTGACTTTGCTGCCTATCTCCGAGGCTCTTGGTGAAGGCAGGAGGAGAAACTCAAGAGGAGGAAGGAGGTTGTCCTATCTGTATTCTGTGTGCAGATTGGGCCTTTGGGCCGAAGCCAGACCAGCCGGAGTCCCCAAGGGAGCTGCCCAAGAGCCTAGAAGGTGAAGACCTAGAGGAGCTGGATCTGGAGCTGGCCTTGACCTGGCGTGGGGAAGAGCTGACCATCTCACCAGAGGACACTCCAGCTGGGGACAGGGAGGTCCGGGAACCCCCCTGCTGGCCTCCCCGCCCTGCTCCTCGACGCCCCTCCATCATCACCTTCCAAGAGCCAGCGTCCCAGCGAAGGCTAGAGTAGAGAGAGCCAGGAGTGGAGGGGCCTCCCTGACTTCCTGGGGCTCAGTAGGGGCATGAGGTTGACAGGCAGCTAAGGCTGCCAGAAGGGCCGCAGATCAGTTAGCACTGAATGGAAAGAGGAAAGAGGGCGAAATCTCACTGGAACTGGACTGTTGTGAGACCTCCCTTTGTTTTTCTACCAAGTAGTGCACAGGCTGAGTTTGTAGAAATTGAATTCCCTTCCACCACTGGGCTGGCAAAAATCATAAAGTGTCAGCTGGAAGGGACCCTAGAGGTCATCTCATCTCCCTAACTGAACCAGGAAACCCCTCCCTAGCCATGTCCCCAATCCACACGGGGCTGCAAATCACTCTGTGCTGGTGGCTCTGCCCTTTTCAGCCTAAATGGTGATTAGGGGGCTTCACCCACAGAGAAGGAGGGAGCAGGCAGGCACGAGCCCAGCACACAGGACGGTTGCTGCTTTACGTGTATGGCTTTGAGGGAAGTAGGACCACCAGCAGCCAACGTTTTGTGGACTAGCAAAAATTTGCTAGAGGGAGATGCTGATGACTGGGAAACAATGCTCTATGGCATTCCCAAGTGGTCATTCTGTCTTTGCTTACAGGGAAAGGAGGCCATGCTTTCCATTGCTATATAGCTCTGATTGTGTTTTCTTTTTGGTTCAGACCTGGATTCATCGATAAGGGGCTCACATGGTGGAAATTCTCCTAATGGCAATTGGCAACCTATCTGTAATTTAAAAGTCTTAGAGCTACCTGGAAACACTAAGATGAACAGTTTGCATGTTTTAGAATTAGGGCTCAACTGAGGCCTTCCCAAGTAGAAGGCCTGCTCTCTATCACCACACCACACTGTCTCCCACAGCTGTGACTATTAAGAAGTTTGTCCTCACATTGAGCTGAAATTTACCTCCTTGTAATTTCTCCCTGGTTATCTTGAGTTCTGTGTTCTGGGTCCAAGCTTAGTAAATCAGTCCTCTTTTATATGACACCCCCTGAGAGGTCTGATGACTGTTATAAATCCCAAAGTAGAAACCATTGCCAAGGCAGAAAGCCCTGTCTCCCAAGTCTGAATGGCCCTTCACAGATCTCAGTTTCTTTGTTTCCTTCACTCCTAACCACCGCTGCAGCCTGTCTAGCAGTGGTGATCTGAGCCACAAAAGCCTCTGTTTTCAGTTGGAAATAGTTACATTTGGACATGGGTAGGGTGGAGGGAGTGGCAGGGCAACTTTCAGCATTCAAGATCTTCTGAATTGGGAGTTGGGGTCCTGAATTCAAATCCTGGCTGTGGTATTTACTACCCTGTGTCACCTTGGGCAAGTTCGTGCCTCAGTTTCTCTTTATGCAAAATGGAGTTGGACTCTGATTTCTCAGGTTATGTTTAGCTCTAATCTATTGAACCTGTGATCTCCTGGACTCCCGTTGTGCCCTTATGGTTCTCAGTTCAGTACTCTGTCCTGTTCTCTTATCATTTTGGAAGTGTGATTCTTATTTTCCCTGCCAGGTCAAGAGTTCCATGGGGATGCTGTCTTCTCTTGCCTCTCCTATAGAATAGCCAAGCATAGGGCTGGGCCCGAAGCAAAGCTTAGTGAAGACTCACTAAACTGTTGGGTTGAGGCAATTGGGCCACTGGGCTGCTAGCCTGAGGATAAGCTACTAGTCCCATCTCTGCCACTGACTCACTTTGTAATCTTCTGGAAATCCTTTGTCTTTTTTGATCCTCAGTTTTCCTTTTCTGTCAAATGAGAATAATAATTCCTGTGCTGCCAGCCTTCTAAGACTCTTAAGAGACAGCATGGTGTTGTGAAAGTGCATTGATTGGACTTTGAGTCAGAAGACCTGGGCTCGCATCCTGACCGTGACACCCTGTGAAATGAAGCAAATGACAGCCTGTCTGCGTATCAGTTTCTATAAAATGGGACCAGGAATGCCTGAACTATCTACCTCAAAGGGTGGTTGTGGGAAAAACAAATGCATTGTAAAATAGAAATGTGAGTTCTTAGATAAACTAATGGGTGTGAAGTACTTTGGACAGTATAAAACAGTCCGGATATGGGCCTATGTTGTTTCTCCCCGTCCTCCAGGGAACATCTGCACTAGTTCCTCGTCTCCATATTCCACTCACCACCATGCCTCAGTGGTTCTGTACTTTGGAAGCAAAAGGGAAGGGACAGGGAGAGAAGTTGATTACTTACTACCTTGACCTTCAGATCACGTGCCAGGGCTATGATTTCTCCTATGAAAGATGGGGTGGAGTCCACCTTCACCCAGGGCAGGGCCAAGGCTAACGGGCTAATGGATGACTCATAGGATCATAGGATTTTGAACTAAGAAAGACTTCCAAGATCACCTGGTCCGATTCCCTCTACCAGAAAACAAAAATGAGATTGGGAGAAGTTATGTGATTTGCCCTGTGTCATCTAGCCAATTAACAGCCTGAACCCAAACCTAGATTTGCTCTGCCACTGATTTGCTGTGTGACTTCGGGTAAATCGATTTCCCTCCCCGAGCTTCTGTTTTCTCTTGATCCTGTGATCTCTTGGGTCCTCTTAATATAAATCTGTGATTCCAAATCCAGTACTCTCTCCAGGTCACCCCTGGCTCATTCCTTCTCCCACCCTCCACAGGGCAGCACAGGAGACACCCTTTACAAGATTGAGGTTGAATTCCTTGCTGCTCCAACAGACTCTGTTCCTTCTCTCAGTGGGATTGTGCTCTTTCTTGGAACAGGGACACATTTAACCTCGTTCCCCACCTTCCAGCTCACGGGGAGGAGGGTAGGGGAGGCCCTCTGTGGGGGCACAGTCTCTTGTACACATGGGCACTGATATCCTACTGGTTGACAAAAGCATCTACTTTCCCTGCTTGTGGACATATTTATGTTATCTTCCGCCATAGTTGTAGAGGGGAAACTGAGGCTCCATCCATAGCTGGGAAAATGGCTGTGAGGGGCCCCATCCATTGGCCTTAGTAAGCAAGATCAAGGGAGGGTCTGAGAGCTTCCTCACAGCTCATCAGAGGCGTGGCCTAATCTGATGAGATGTTTACACACACGAAGGTCCCTAAATCTAAGGATGGAGAGGAGAATCTCTTTTTGAGGACCGGAGCTCCCTCAGTACCAGAGACTATGATAACCCGTTCTGAGCAGGGATCTTTGTTGACCTCAATTGCTCTAAGTCCTTGGCAGGGGCTGGGGTGCAAACTGTCCCCTTTTGCCCTTTGGTGAAGCCATCCATGCCTTCTGTGAGGCCCTCAGCTGCTTGTGCTGAGCGTTGAGCAGGGATAATGGATTCTCGCTTCCTGAGAATGGGGCTGAGTTAATTGTTACCTAAGTCCAGAGTCTCTCTACTCCCTTCATTTCCCCTGCTCCCCTCCTGTTAACCCTTTGTGTGTGGGTGAAGGATGGCACACAAGAACTGAAGCTCCCAGGAACGGTCTGACAAAGCCCTTCCAATGTGAAAGGACTGGCAGAATGATAGGGAAGTGGTCAACTGAGGATAGATGGGCTCTGTTCTTTGGTTACCCTGGAGCCCAGCCATCTAGGACCTCGAAGGCCACAGAGGGTTAAAGGGAGAAAGGTGCGGTCCCCTGAGCAGCTGGTAGGTGTGAGTGAGGAATGGGGCTTTCAGAGTCCAATAAGTGATCAGTCTCCTACCAACACTCCATCCACACACCCCCCAACCTCTGCCCCTTCCATATTCTCTTATCTGGGGTGGGGCCATTTCGGAGTCATCTCTCCAGCTCCCTTCTGCAGCAGTCAGTGCAGACAGAGACCAGACTCAAGGACCCCAGACACACTGACGAGCCACGGCTGCTTGGCCCCATGGAGCTCCTGGAGATCATCTTTGTGCTCTCTTCACTGTTGCTGTCATCAGTGGATGCCCAGGAAGGTGGGAGGTCAGGGATTGGGGAGAGGCAAGGACGGTGATACGCTGGGTAGGGGTTGGGAAACCACCCTCCCTTGTCTTGGTTCTGGGACTCCATCTCCCTATTTTCACCTGGAGAAATAGGTCCTGTGGAAGAGGGAGAAGACCAAGAGAGGAAAAGGGGGAATTGTCCCAGAGCCTGGCACAGAACCCCGCACCTTCTCACTGAAGCTCAGTCCGTCTCTCTTTCTCACTCTGTCCCTGGCAGTGATTGAGAGGACGCTGCAGCCCTGGCTGGTGGGTCTGACAGCTGTTGTGGTCTTCCTCTTCATCGTCTTCGTCCTCATGCTGGCCAATCGGTTTTGGTGTTCCAAGGAGAGGTGGGAAACCTTGCTCCCTGGACCTGGGGTCCCAGCTCCCTCTCTTCTTCCCCATGACTACCCCTCCTCTTTGTGACCTGGCCAGAGAGCCAGGCCAGTTGTATGGATGCCCCAGTCATATGAACCACAGACTCCTTGGCTGTGACCTTGAACCAATAATTTTCTCAGTTTATTAATCTGTGAAATGAGGGAATTGGGACTTCATCTTTAACTTCTAAGTTTATGGAATACTGGGGACTGAGCCTTAGCCTGAGAAAGTACCCATAGTGTGTGTGGGGGGGGGGTGAGGATGGGAGAGGAATCGGGTCAAGGAGAATCTCCAGACTCCCTTTTCTCCCCAGAAACCATGATGATGAGGAGGAAGAGCTTGAAAAGAACCAGTCAGATCTGAACCCCTATGAAAACATTCAAATGAGGTAAAGTGTACACTCATATCTTCATGTGTGCACACAGGTGTGTATGTGTGCGTCTTGTTTTGTTGTGGGCATTGGAATACTTCTGTGAAGTGATGTAGTATGGTCTAAAGAACCCCAGATTTGGAAATAGAAGACGTGTGACTCTCAGCCTTAGTTTCCTAACCTGTAAAATAGGGATAATAACATATTTGAACAAATGGCTTCAAGGTAGTTGGGAAGAAAGAACTTTGACCTCTTTGACACCGCAGAGATGGGAGCAGTTACTGTTACGTGTTGTTGCATGTGTGCATGTATATACGTGTGTCTTTGTCTTTGTGGCTCTGTCCAAATGCAAATTCTCAGGTGTACACCATATATTTGTGTGGCCTTAGGTGCACAAATGCATGGACAGACGTGCCCCTTTGTTGCATGGTATGCATGCTTATGTTGTGCATGGTTAGAATCATCTGTGTGAGGGCATATAGTACGTAGAGGGCAGACCTTGCAGTCAGGAAGACTTGGGTTCAGGTCCAACCTCCAACACGTACTAGCTCACTCACAGACAAGTCACTTAACTAGGTGTCACAGTGAATAGAACGCTGGACCTGGAGTCAAGAAGACCTGAGTTCAAATCTAGCCCCAGAAGCTTACTAACTCTATGACCCTGGGCAAATCATTTATCCTCTGTCTGCTTCAGTTTCCTCATCTGTCCTCATCTGTAAATAATAGCACCTCTCTCGCAGGGTTGTTGTGAGGATCAAATAAGATAATAATTGTAAAGCACTTAGCACAGTACTTGGCACATAGTAAGCACTATATAAATGTTTATCATCATCATCATCCCTTCAATGCCTAAAACAACTCAGATTTTTAAGTTATAGAGGAGTTGCCAATAGCCTCTGGAGTAAAGTAGAGGCAAGTTTTCACACCAGGAGTTCTTCACACTAATGAAATTACATGTCCACTCCACCCTAGTCCTGTGTGCATATGGGTGAGTCTGTGTGTTCTATGTGTGTCTGTCAGCTGTATATAGCCCCCAATGTCCTTTGCTGTACTTTCTAATGGTTTGGACAAAGAGATGGAGGCAGAGAGGAGAGAAGTAAGTCTGAGCAAAAAGCTTTGAGGCGGGGAAAAGCTGAGTTTGTGGAGAAAAGACGGACCAGGAGGGGGAGGCACCCAGTCTAGCTGGGGTGGAGAGGTTCTGCAGGGGAGCAGGAATGACAAGTTTGGAGAAGGAGGCGGGGACCAGACCGTGGAGGCCTCAAATGCCAGGCTAACGAGTTTAGACTTTTTCCTGTGGGCTATGGGAGCCATGAAAAGTTGTAGCTTCTGGATGAGTGTAGCCTCTCCTTTTTCCCTCTTCTCTACTTTGTCCAGAACCTTCTCCTACCTCTTTCCCTCTCGCTCACCTCCTTCCAAGAGGTACCTTTTAGGTGCCTAGACTACCAACTGGGACAAGGGTATCTTCACTTGGGCTGTAACTGGCCCAGTCGAGAGGTTCCTGGTTCCCATCTCCCTCCCTTCAAATAGACTGGCATTGAGACTGGTCATCCTTTCTCTAGGGGAGCATCCAAATCACCAGAGGAGAAGGGAGGCTACACCAATGGAGCCTTGGAACCAGATGAAAATGCCACTGCCAGCACAGATGTTAATAAATATACTGCCTTGTGAGGGAGACCCTCCCACCATGGAACCTTTGGGGTGGATGCCCTGATTTCTTCATGCTTGTCTCCCAAACTCCACCTCCAGCCTCTGGGCCCAAGGAATGATTCAGACTGTAATAAAAGAATCCTGTTAACCCAGGCCCTATTCCTTCTCTTCTCCCTCATCGGGAAACATGGCAGAACCAGGCTGTGATTCCTCCCCCTTCCTTTCCTCCCCTCCCCCCTGCAGATTAGTTTAAAAATAAAGAATTATTTGCTGCCCAGTGGCGGTTGATTCTTCTCTAACTGGTGATGAGGAACACAAGATCATAGATACAGAAGGGGCCTTAGAGGTCATCTGGTTCTACCTCTCATTTTCCAGATGAGGAAACAGAAGCTCAATGAGGTTAAGGAAAGGAGAATCCTGGAATGAGACTCAGAAGATCTGGGTCTGAATGCTACTGAGGCAGCTAGGTTGTGCAGTGGCTAGAAATGCTGGGCCTGGAGTCAGGAAGACTTGAGGTCAAATCCAACCTCAGACACTTGCTAGCTGTGTGACTTTAGGCAAGTCATTTAACCGCTGCCTGCCTCAGTTTCCTCATCTGTAAAATGGGAATAATAACAGCGCCCACTTCCCATGGTTATTATGAGGACCGAATGAGATGATAATTGTAAAGCACTTAGCACAGTGCTATAAATGACTGCTATTATTATTACTGACTCTGTGTGACCATTTGCAAATTACCTTTTTCTGGGCTTCAATTTCCTCATCTGGAAATTAATTGTTGACCTAGATGATATCTTAAGTCACTTCCTGTACCCCCTGCCCTCTTCTTGAATAGTTGCCTGAGTTGCCTACTCCCTAATTTCATTTTGCCACAATCTGGTTTCTCAATAACTGCTGCCTCCTCCCCATTCGCTTAGTGGTCCTGTGGCTAGGTATGACATTAGCTAGGCATGGTGGTAAGAGGATCCCTGTCCTGGGAGACTTGGTAGGCAAAGACTCAGATGTAGGAAACAACCGAAAAGCCTCATTCATGGGTCTTTTTGTGGGGAAAGGCATAAGTGAAAATTCTGAATTATAGGATTTTTCTTTTTTACTGAGGAAATGCAGCTGTATTGATTTCAAAACCATAGGAGAGTACTACCTGTCCTGTATTGCCAAGTAGAGGGTCTGCTTTGATGAACAGCAAATGCTTGTCAGGACAAGTCAAATCTCACTGTGACTCAGTTTCCTCCCTCACACAGCTTCTCAGTGCAAGTATGAGGAGACAAGAGCTGCCAGGAAGAGATTCAAATGCCTTCTCCCAGTATAAAGGGGTTATCACCACCCATCGTTTCTGTATCAGGGAGGCCTTGGTGAAGTGTCCACAAGTGTTCCACTGCCCATGTTCTGTTTACATTATTATTACAGCTTCGCTT